TGTCTGAAAGCACATCTTTAATTCAACTGTAAGCAGCAACTGCCCTCGGCCTGGTGTGTGCCTGTCTAGTGCATGTGCCTATGCGTTTTCTGAGTTCTCACTTTTTTTTCAGGCCTTTCAACCCCTTGAATGTATATGCTTTTGTTATTGTACACGTTAGTTTTGATTAGAAGATGAAAATTGCAGTATAAAGGATATACAGTATAAAGTGAGCATCAAAGCATCAAAAGAAATCTATTTATGTTCTTTTTTGTCCTTGAAACAGAGGAATACCATCTTCTGGGCTTTTCTCATTTTTTATTGATTTAATATTTAATATTTACCCTTTTTACGCTTTCAGAAGAATGAGTATACAGAATTTCTAATATTGATTAAATGTTTTCTGCATCATTTTGATTAATTGATCATTGAAATCATGCTTATTCAAGATGGATACACTGGAGTGATGTTGACTGCTGCATAAGCACTAAATCACCTCATTAAGGCACCTCATTAGACAATTACATTTCTCTTTTTCAGGGAGATTCAATATTTTAAATTAGTTGGTGTTCACATCAGCAGAAAAATGGCACTCCAAAAGAACACCCTACGTTTAGAAAGCATGCATATCAAATAGGAGAGGAATATTCTAAAAGCCCACTATTTAATCAGAAAACCAACACCCGCTCTGATAACATAGATGTTCTGGCCTGTGTTTGCAAGTCCATAAAAAAATTAATGTCAAATTTCAATCTTTCAAATTTAAACCTTTAGAAATTAAGTAAAAACAGAATGTATTTATTTTGTATGCATGAGACTTATAATGCACTCTGTGTGTGCAAAAGCCTTGAATACCTATTAATGGCATAATTTAAAAACAGCACATTTTACTCCAAAAAAAAAGCATTCAGAAGCCTGTAAGGTGTGATAGACATTACACTGTGCAGTAACTGCATTTTTATCTAAGAAAAATGTTAACATTTTAGAGAAAATGGATAAAGACATTTATCAAGTTATTAAAGGTAACCCAAGTGCTAATCAAAAAAGTAACTTTTCAAGAATTAAACTTTGATAATAGATAAAATAATAATGTGTCCCTCTAACAGGAAAAATCTGTATCTACATGCGTCAAAAGCATGCATTCCTTATAAAGGATAGTTCAGGAATTTAGAAGACTGTCCAAAAACAAAACTAGTTTTTATATTTAAAAAAAATGAAATGTAATCATATTTATTATCTAAAAAAAACCCCAGACATCCAGAATGTTTATACTGCACCTGAGGATGTTGTGTGCTATCACCCTGCTAACACCTTCCTTTTTTAAATTACCTCAACCTGCCAGTCACTTTATTTCGAATTCTAACTGGTCACAGCTGTGAGTGTTGTGAATGGTAACAGCTTTCTAAACTCTTTCTTATCTGGAAAATGCTGTTTTCTGACAAGTAAATATGAAAGGACTAAACTCTCCTTTTTTTCTGACTGTCTCCTACACATATCATTGCCTACAGCAGATTAGCTGTTTGGAACTGAAATACCAAGGTCAGTGTAACAGCTGGATCTTCAAGATAAGTTCTGTCTGCAATTGAATGGTGATTTCTTTAGAACTAAATATAAGATTTTGCCTGTCTTTGAGCTTTCGGGACTGAGGGCAACTTTGCAAATCTAATATATTCCACAAAATTGAGAAGGAATCTCTCTCATATAGCCTGGCTCGCTTGCTTGCTGCTTCCCTGCTCCTCACACAGACTGACATGTTGCTAGTTGTCTGCACAGCCTGCCACAGATGGGTTTGCCACAGCTCCTAAGAAACACCAGCAATTAAAACTACTGTGCCCAGATCCACCCCCCAACACAGTTCCTAACTGATGTTTTTATTTTATTTCCTTGTATTATCACTTATTCTAACCTTTTATTATGTAGAATCTGCTGAGAATGTGGTAGACTAGAAAAAGAATCATTCAGTAATTTTATGCACAGCTCTGTACCAATGACAACTGATGCAAATAGAGTCCAATGCAGAATGCAGTCTGTTCTGATACAGACCTCAGCACCTCTATCGATAGACCCCTTTTTTGCCAGTAGCATCTGTTTAAAAGGGCAATACTGATGGGCATTTCTGTAAAAGCCTCGTTAGACATGAGTCATAACTGAAGACAAGTGACTTTCAATCCCCACACAAATAAGGCATCAGTCAGGCTGTGATCATCAAAACAGCCTCAGATAATTTCCACTTCGCTGACAAACACAGACACTAGGAACAAAGGTACAGTAATGTCTCCTTTTTGTTGACTGGAGATGTTTGAAAACACACTCTTTTCAGTACCTTAATGCTCCAGATATGTAAGTAATAGTAAATAAAAAATAGCTGCTGAGGAACACTGTACTGTATTAATATCCAGAAATCAGACGGCGATAATACCCAAATTTAATTATTTTCAACATTAGGCATTCAAAACACTTCTTTGTATGTCATGATGATGTCATGCCTATTGAACTCAGGTTTGTTTAACCAACAGAAAGATACATTTTAAATACAAAGAAGAATTTTAAAATGTCCTCCTTTTGACTACAAACATGAGTAATAAGAAAAGGGAACAACCCACAAAATATGTTGGTAGCAAAATCTGTTCATGGTAACAGATAACAAAGACAATGAACTGTGCAATTTGGTCACAAATGGAAAAGAAGCATTAAGCATGAAGCCAGTTCAGAACCGAGGAGGGAAAAGACATCATTATGCAGAGATTAATAGTGGGTGTGCTGACTAAGATACCTTGTCAGACTGTATTTCCTGATATATTGATAAATTACTTGCTTTAATTAGTTATTATAAAGTAGACCAGCAAGGAATGGTCATATTCTTCCGTGATATGGTCATATAAGTCATGAAACTACTGCTATATACCCAATAATAAAATATTTCAATTTTGTAACATCTAACTGTGCACAAAAGAAAAACTTTCGAAGAATCGATTTAATTTAGTATTATCAGGCAATCCACACAAGCAGCCTCAGTTCATTATTAGTCCAATACAGGACCGTGTCACACACAATGGAGATCAGAGTATGTCTTTTAATTTTAGGCGATCATCAAATAACAAACGATTCAGTTTCCTAAATGAGATTTAAATTGTGGATTCATCATTTACAGCTTCATGCTAATAATGGTTACATTAATTATCAATACAAAACAGCGTGGATAATCATGTCTCAGCCACAAAGCTGGGAATAAAAGATTCCTGTGAAAATACATCTATATAAACACAGTGCTCTTCATGAAGTGACGAGCCCATTAAATAATCTAAAAAAAAACTAGAGAAAAGGAATTCAATTTCACCCACTGTGACATGCACAAATAAAGAAGAAATAAATGCAGTAAACCCAATCAAACAATGGTGACATCAGTGTGTTCCCAACTGTTACTCTCAGAATCAAGGATGCATTTTCTCCAGGAAATCAAGGGCTACAAACAATATCATTCTGCCTTATAATTTTTCAATGTGATGTTTCTCAGAATTATGCCATTCCTTTAGTCAGTGTTGGTTCTCATTAAACATGGTAAATTGGGCTACTGCTGCAATGCATGTAACACTGTCCTTACACTACACAAATGCTTGTATGAAAGACAAAAAGAAACTAGCAAGAAGAAGGCTGACAAATCTATTTCTTTTTTTGTTCAAGTAATATTCTATAAGGGATATAGGAACCATATAAAGAATGCCTCTGCCACTGGAGTTTAGTGGCAGAGCTTTTCAACAAATTGCACATACAATTTACTCAATACAGAGTTCAGAGTGTGGCTACAGGGGAAATAAGAACCAGCAATTATATGTTAGGTGCAACACACTAAGCTAGCATACTTCTAAGTACAGCTCAAACAAAATCTACATTTCTAAGTTCGTTCAAACAAAGGCAAGGTATTTGCAAAGTGCCAGAATAACATCTACAGTATATTCCCAGAATCAGAGATTCACAATTTGAAATATCGTGCTACAGAGAAGCCATTTCCACACAAAAAAGGAGTGTTATTCATTGACTTCAATGACATTATCCTCTTCCACTGAAATTAAAACACGCCTAAACACCTGTCAACATCGTGCACTTTGTCTGTTACATTAACAAACTATATCAACAATTAATGATGTAAAATAATCCAATTATTGGCTTCCTGCTTGTGTGAAGGATCAACATATTCACAGATTTTCTTCTTCACCTTCAACGTATTTTATTTTTATTTTTCTAAAAAAGTTCTTGGCAGACCCAGGGTTGAGTACTGTTTGGCTTTTTCATTTTGGGCAAATATACAACTGAATGGCACATAGAGGAGCTGAGCAATATTTTGAAGGGCAGAAAAACAGAGGTCAGCTCAAAGGTCTGCTATGTTTTTCTCATCTGGGAGATCTGAAAATGTTCACTGTCAAGGCCTGTCAAAGCAGCTGTTGGGTCATTTGAAGTGTTTGATGCTTGTGCGTAGTGTATATCCCAGAGTAAAGAGTTGTGGGATACATTTTCCACACGCTAAACCAAAGATCAATTTTTGTAAAAAATTTTGTAAACATTTTGTTGACAAAAACATTACATAATTCTTAAATTAATTTCATGGTGCTATGCTATTTTTCATTTCTTGTGTGCTTATATACTGATAACATTCTGATTGAAATGTTGTAATGCAGATAAAATGCTAATATAGACTTATTTTTGGACATTGTGGTTCTTCAGTGTTCACTATTCAGCTTCTATGAACAAGGTTCTTAAACATACTGTGACAATTGTAAAAAAAACTCTGGAATACAATGAAAAACACAAAATGTGAAAAACATAATAAATACAGTAGAAACAATAGAATATTGGAACTTTTTCAAAGGAGAGTTATACTTATGCCAAGCAAGTGCATCATAACTGCAGAAAGCAGTGTTATACTTCATGGTGCAGTAAACATTCCTGCATTTCAGGGTTGGTTTTTAATGAAATATTTAATGAGAAATATTGAGAAAAAGTGAAGAAAGGGATAAAATACTCACCCCTGAGGTAGGGTATGCTGTCCAGCCCAGCTCTGCTGTGGCGATGCGAGTGTCCATCACTGTTTCTATAAAGGAATATGAGAAAAAGTGTTCAATGCTTATGCTGACAATATCCATTTTCATATTCTATTGGTATGATATAACGATTTCTGTATACAGCAAAATAGACAGTCACATCCATAAGTTTGCCTTTCAACCTAAATGAAGATTAAATTAAGTCTAGATACAATAGGAAGATCAATAACATAGGAGCAAAACTGGCAAAAACCAAGCTAGCACATGAACTAATCAAATAGGCCAGAGCCCTCTGACTTTGCTCTTGTCAACTTCAGTTTTCCTCCAAGAACTACAATCAACCAGTAGACTGGGCTGACTATCCTTTTTGTATTCAAACAGAACATTGGTAATGATAATCTGCTGCCATTGTACACGTGGAGATCTCAGATTAGCAGTAATTATTTTATTTTACTATTTTCTTATAAGTATCAATAAATATTTTAGTAAAACATATAGAAGAAATTGTTTCTTCAAACATCAGTCTGTGATAGCATTTTCACTATGAAAAGTTGACCGTAATCCTCTATTTCCCTTCGTTCTAGAGCGCATGCGCTTTTGCTCCTGTAGTTTCATCTAAGAATTTTCAGGGATTCTGAACATAAACCAACAGTAATGAGGAATGTGTGCGGCATACAATTCCCTGTTGGGAGCCCACATTGAAAGCTTTCCTTCTGTTGCAGCATATACTTGACACACAAATGGTGTTGCGCTTGTTTACAATGTGACACAGTTGCCTCTTTTATTGAGCTCACATCTTGACTCTTCACTTGATCATGTTCTGGAGAAGAAAATTCTGTACGGTATTGTACCACAAAGTTAATTTTGAATTAATGGAAACGAGATGTTCTCCATGTTAATCTAAAATTATTCTGAGTGATTATTCACAATAGTTTTACTATTAATTAGAATCCAGTTTCCAGTTCCAAATGCTGGATATGTCCAGTTGGGCAAATGCTGTGTTTGCATCGACTTGTTGACAAAAAATTTTTAAATAAAGCAAACACACAAAGTAGTTCTATAATTGCTCAGAGATGGGACCAGGCAATCAGCAGAAGCTTCTTATGAACATGTTTGTCAATGTGATCAGACTATTAAAACACTTCTCAGAAGGCGTAGGTTAAATGAACAGTATGTCACCAGCTTCATAATGACATTAATGACAAGATTAATTCCATTAATGAGGTGATTCAAAAGTGGTCAGGAATAGAAGAGGGGCTATCAGACTTTTTTTTAACTCCTGGGAGACTTTTAGCAATCACAATTTAAAAAAAATATTAGAGCCACGTTGGAGTTATATGGGTCTCAAGTAGGGCAGAGAAAAGAAGCTTTTATTGCCCTCTGAGGAAGAGGATGTAATTATCAGACTAGTAGTTTCTTGAAGGGTAATCAAAGGCAGCATAACGGTCCTTTCTTTAAGCTTGCCTTCTATTAACACCCACAATGGAACACTCATCCATCACAGCACCACAGAGAAAGAGATGATAAAGAACAGCCAGTCTAAACTAACCAGTCTTTGGAAGGTGGTAGGAAACTGCTGTACCTGGAATAAATTCGGGAGAATGTGGGGCGAACATGCAGATTCCATAGATTCTTGCTCAGGGACAGAATCAAGCCCATGACCCTGGGTCTGTGAGCCAGGAATGCTAATCAGGCTGCCGCCCCACATGTACTGTATTCAAAGAAAAGTCAATATCACACTGAAAGATGAGAACCTCTCTTAATTTAATAAACCCCATCTATCATCTGTCTAACTGTCAGCTCATTTCCAAGACCAAATATACCTCAGTGAATTTGTTTTGAAAAGATTCTCCTTGTGATTTCAGCACAAAACAGGTTCTCTAATATCCCCCCACTAAAATCATCAAATAAAACCTGACAGGCTTAACATAACAAAGCTAACTGTTCTGGCACCCTCATCTTTCAATGATGCAAAGTGTGCCTGAAGAATTTTTGTGATTGTCACAACCACAGGACTGTATCTGAGGTCCAGAATCCCAGCAGAAGAAAGGCGGTCCAGTGTTACTGTAACAAACGCTGACAGTGGTGAAATGAATAAGGATGGCAGGAATCCAGAGAGTTATATCAGGACTTCCTGATTAATATTTGTGGACTTTGTACATTCCTAAAAAGCCAATATTGTTCCAGTGATGAGAGGTTCAGTGCTAATATATTTTTCTACAGGTCTGAGCATTGTAACAACAAGACAGGACAGTTCGCATCTTTATACTGCCCTTACTCTGTATTTAAGGAAAATGTTTTTTCTCCTGTTTTTAAATGGGTGCATGTAACCCAAAGCATTGCTTGTCAGCCTCTTTATCCTACCAGTCATACAGTATGTTTCTCTTAGCAGTGCAAAAGGTTTCTCTCATGCAGTGGATCCAGGGAAGATTTCCTCTTGGACAAGATAGTCCAGACTCCAGCAGCAGGTTCTAGTTTATTTTGTATGCCCATAAACATTATATTGAACTTAAAAGGAGGGGAAGCTTAAATATCTCCTTGTAATCTACTTAATGGCTCCAAACCTGCAGTCCCATGAAAGGTGTTCATTCTTGATTCAGTTTTATTTTCTTTTGGCATTTATTTATGTTGCATCATTTTTTATTGAACAGAGAAAAACAAAAATTTACCAAAACGAGTTTTATTTTCTGGACCCTATACTATGCAACACAGGTTAGCGTTTATTCAAGGACATTATATAAAAAAAACACTTAAAGTAAAATTAAATATTTGAATTATTATTGTTAAACACCACAGAACATCAAAACATAATAAAGGTCAGGAAATCTTAAGTCACCACAAAAACCTGTCCTGTCTTACAACATCAAAGAAACCTCTTAATCAAGATTTTGATAACAGTAATTAAACTTTAGAGAGTAGATGAAAATAGAGTGAAAGAGTGGAAAGGGTTACTAAGAATTAGCTATTTTTCCTGCTCTCTGCCTGGTTGTTTTTTTCAACACAATTCAACACAATTAATTATCAAACTGATTAAAGGAAAGGTAAGCAATTTTAATAGCTCTACTATAGCTGTATAGTTCACTCCATACAGTTCCATGTACAGTACAGAGCAGAAATTGAACCCATAAGTTATACTTTTTTTCATTGTTAAGAATTGGTAGAGAAATATCCAGAAAATGAACAATTCTGTGAGACTATTTTTAAGCGCTGACAATGGGCTACAACTATCACTTATGTCGCCATCACTCAATTTCTTTTAGCGTCCTAGTGCTGTGTCAGCTGGAGGGAGTGAGCTAAAATAGCTCTAAAATCACTCCAAAGCCAGCTTATTTTCAACATGGTCACTATACTATATAATGAACCAAGGATTGTGCTCCTCTGATTACCTGTGGGAGCAAATTCATGTCCACTAGGGGTCCCAGACAAAATCCCCTCTTCAGGATAACATAATATTTTACTAGGTACTATAATGTACAGTTCCTATGCCAAAGATGTTTTAATTATAAAATGGAAAATGAAGACAGATTTTTTGCCATCTAGGAGTACATGTACAGTACATGGACAACAATTTTAACCACAGTCAAGCAGGTTTGTGTAAGACTCTATTGTGTAAGAATGTTGTGTTGTGTAAGAATTGCCATTAAACTACCCAAGACCTGCTAAACTGAGGAGTGCCACATCATTTTCAGTTACCTCTTCAGCTGAAAATCATAAGATTGGCCCCAACAGGTATAATAATGCCCATAAATGAAAAGTGAGAAGTATCATTTGAAAGCATTATTAATCACTCTCAGAGACACACAGAACAGGAATCCTGAGCGCAGATGGTTGAGGACAGAAAGGCTCTTTAAAAGAGTCATGTCAATCACAATGTGGGCTGAGGAAATGGGCAAAAGAGCCTATTTGACATGGACCCAAAGCCCTGCCCAAAGTAGCTCTGGAGAAACAATTAAATTTTCAGTCCTAAAGGAAATTCCTCTTGGAATCAATCAATAGCTAACGGCCAGCAGTTTCAACAAGGTCTACATTAAATATTGACGGCCCTGGCTCTTTGATCAATATTATGCTGCTCCCTACAATTACATATCAGTACTGGCATACACAAAATTTAATACATCAAGCACACACCTGGACGCACGCAGTGCCTGCAGGGGTCTCTGGGATTAAGCAGAGCAGAAAAAAACAAAGCCATCACAAAGGTATGCAAAAATAGAATAAACCTGGGACTGAAGCCATTGCTGATTTTCTGGCTACACTGCAAATTCCATGCCGCATTTTCCAGAAAACTACAAGGCCATTGTTAATAACTAACATTGTTCTACTTTCATTCCAAGCCGTTATATAAAATATCTCAAGGGTAAAGCTCCAGCCAATTCATCACTCAATAATGCTGAAAAATTGCCATTGGGATCCTTCATCTCAACACTATTTAAGACTGCTACCTCTGTAATGATTTGGCTGTTTAGGATAGGCTCTTCATTCTCTTTCCTTCCAATTACCACATTTGATCTGAGAAGCTATTCCACATCATCCGATTTTCAGTTGCCATCAATTAAATCTACTTGTAACTGAACCATCTGAAGGCACTGAATTATTGAGTGAAAAATCAAAGTAATTTAATGCATGCTAAGTGATTACCATAAAGCAATGATGCTGGTGCCGAGCATGGTGTTTTAATAGATGCTGAAACAAATTGTAAAAAAGAAAATACATTTGTTTTCCTTTATTATTAAGTCACAGCTCTAGGGACACATCATTATGAGGCAATGTTTTAAGAAAAAAATAGAATGACATTTTACAGTCATTTTCGAAGATTTCCTCTGGGAAATTATTATTGTGTGAAGGTTTTTCATTTTGTACCTCTCCACCTCGGAGTGTACATGGTGTAGGTCAAGATTGTTCAGTCCTGGTCCTAGAGGGCAAGAGTGTCTACAAGCTTTTCTACATCTCTTTCAAAGATCAGCACCTGAAGAGTGGACAGCAACTGCAAAATTGATCCAATTAAACTAATAATGAGCTGATTTACGTCATTAAGAAGCGAGTTGGAATA